AGTTCTAGCAATAGCAATAAGACAACACAAGGGAATCAAGTGGATTCGAATTGGAAAGGATGAAGTGAAACTTTCGTTATTTGCAGACGATATGATAGTGTACATAAGCGACCCCAAAAACTCTACCAAAGAACTCCTACAGTTGATAAACACCTTTAGTAATGTGGCAGGATACAAGATCAACTCCAAAAAATCAGTTGCCCTCCTATACACAAAGGACAAAGAAGCAGAGAGGGAAATCAGAGAAACATCACCTTTCATGATAGCCACAAATAGCATAAAATATCTTGGGGTAACTCTAACCAAGGAAGTGAAAGACCTATTTGACAAGAACTTTAAGACTTTGAAGAAAGAAATTGAGGAGAATACCAGAAAATGGAAAGACCTCCCCTGCTCCTGGATTGGGAGAATCAACATAGTAAAAATGGCAATTCTACCAAAAGCAATCTATAGATTCAATGCAATTCCCATCAAAATCCCATCAAACTTCTTTACAGACCTTGAGAGAACAATAATCAAGTTTATATGGCAAATCAAAAGACCCAGGATAGCCAAAACAATCTTATACAATAAAGGAACTTCTGGAGGCATTACCATCCCTGACTTCAAACTCTATTACAGAGCAACAGTGTTGAAAACAGCTTGGTATTGGCATAACAACAGAGAAGTCGACCTATGGAATCGAATAGAAGACCCGGATATTAACCCACAAACTTATGAACACCTGATTTTTGACAAGGGAGCTTAAGGTATACAATGGAAGAAGGATAGCATCTTTAACAAATGGTGCTGACATAACTGGATGCCAACCTGTAGAAAAATGAAAATAGATCCATATCTGTCACCATGCACAAAACTCAGGTCCAAATGGATTAAAGACATCAACATTAATCCGACCACTTTGAACCTGATAGAAGAGAAAGTGGGAAGTAGTCTACAAGATATAGGCACAGGAGACCACTTCCTAAGCAGAACCCCAGGAGTGCAGACAATAAGAAAAACAATGAATAAATGGGACCTACTGAAACTGAGATGCTTCTGTAAAGCAAAGGACACTGTCAGTAAGACAAAAAGGCTACCTTCAGACTGGGAGAAGATTTTCACAAACTGCTCATCAGACAAAGGTCTGATCTCCAAAATATACAAACAACTCAAGAAACTAGACACTAAAATCCTAATTAACACAATTAAAAAATGGGGTACTGATCTGAACAGAGAATTCACAACAGATGAATTTCGAATGGCCAAAAGACACTTAAGGTCATGCTCAACCTCCTTAGCGATCAGGGAAATGCAAATCAAAACAACTTTGAGATATCATCTTACACCTGTCAGAATAGACAAACTCAAAAAAAAACCACTGATAGCCTATGCTGGAGAGGATGTGGAATGAGGGGAACACTCATCCATTGTTGGTGGGAATGCAAACTTGTGCAGCCACTGTGGAAATCAGTGTGGCAGTTTCTCAGGAAACTGGGAGTCAACCTCCCTCAGGACCCAGCAATTCCACTCTTGGGAATATACCCTAGAGATTCCCTAACATACTGCAAAAGCATTTGTTCAACTATATTCATAGCAGCACTATTTGTAATAGCCAGAACCTAGAAGCAGCCTAGGTGCCCCTCAATAGAAGAATGGTTAAAAAAGGTGTGGAACATATACACATTAGAGTTTTACTCAGCGGTAAAAAACAATGACATCTTGAATTTTGCGTGCAAATGGATGGACATAGAAAACGCTTTACTGAGTGAGGTAAGCCAAACCCAAAAAGAGGAACATGGTATGTATTCACTCATAAGTGGATTCTAACCATAATTAAAGGTCTTTGAGCCTGTTATTCATGATCCTAGAGAAGCTAAATAAGAAGATGAACCTGATGAAGATTATTTAGCTATCCGCCAGGAGGTAGGAAATAGACAAGAGTCCCAGGTAACCTCGGGTGCATGGGGGGGGAGGGTTGTTGGAAGGGGAGACGGTTAGAAAGAAGGGAGTAGGGGAGGAATGGGCAAAGCTCGGTGGACCAGGATGTGGGGGAGGGAGGAAGGATGAATATGGGATCAGGGAAGAATATAGTTCAACTAAGGGAGTCATTTTTGGGATTACAGGAGACTTGATTATATATGGGATCCCAGGTCCAAGGAGAGATCCCCAGATTGTTCTCTGGACAGAGGAGAGGGTGCCTGAACCGGCCTTGGCCCATAACCATACTAATGAATATTTTGCTTATCACCATAGATCCTTCATCTGGAGATGGATGACGATACAGACGGAGACCCACATTGGAGCACCGGACTGAGCCCCCCAAGGTCCAAATGAGGAGCAGAAGGACGAAGAAAATGAAAAAAGAAATAAGGACTGCAAGGGATGCTATCACCCACTGATACAAGGGGACGGATCTAATGAGAGCTTACCAACGCCAGTTGGACTGGGACTGAAAGAGCAAGTGATCCAACCAGATTCTCTGAATGTGGCCGGATTCTCTGAATGTGGCTAGCCCGGAGTCTTTCTGAAAAGCCATTGACAATGACACTGGGACTTGTTTCTTCTGCATATACTGGATTTTGGGGATCCAGTCTGTTTGGATTCTCACCTTCCTAGACCTGGAGGGACGGGGAGGAGCTTGAACTTCCCACAGGGCAGGAAACCCTGTCTGCCCTTAGGGACGAAGAGGAAGGAGGAGAGGGAGTGGGGGGAGTGGGAGGGTGTTGGGAGGTGGGGCGGAAATGGAAACTTTTATAATTTAATAAAATTACTTAAAAAAAAGAAATAAAATTAAAAATAAAAATAAAAGAAATATAGTATAAAATAAAGCCACATAAAAATGTGGAATACCCAGAGAATCAGGATGCTATATGTTATTGTGTTGCCTTTGAATGGTTTGATGGCTGAGGAAGGAACAATAGCCGCTAGAAGACATTTGATTGCAAATGCTTCTGGATAAATATAACATATATATTTTAAAGTGCTCTGACTTCAAAATTTAAGTCAAAAATATGCTAGTTTGTTTCCACAGGAAATAAGAGGCTGTGGTTTCATTCTCGTTTAAGAAAAATTAGGTTTGATCAAGGAAATCCCCCTGAAAAAAAATCTCTGAGAGAAGCAGATGGCCAGAGGATCCATATTTCACAGGACATCTATTGGACTTTCCTATGAGTTCTAAATACAGGACAGCCTCAAGACTGTTGGCTGAGATGGCCAAACCTCACAGAATATTTCAGTCAGGACTTGACCATAATCATAAATTTTCTTTAGGTCACTATATGACTATCAGGGCCCCCAATCAGCAGGAAGTAGCCTTAAAAATTATGCCCACATTCCCAAAAAATGTATTATGGATATTTTTCTTTGTCTTTAGAGTTGGTTATAAGTTGTTATGGATAATAGTCAGGAAGAAACCTAAACAAAGGAGATTAGATTCAAAGTTTTCGGTTTGAAATAAAAAAAATAAGGAAAGTACTGTGGGACAATGGTCTTGTACCTTGTAAAGATTTGTCAGTTTTGTGGGTTTAATAAAAACTAGATGATTGTCTAGTCACGTGGCAGGGAGTATAGGCAGGATGACCAGAAAAGGACAATTCTGGGAAGAGGAAAAGACTCAGTCTGCAGTTGTCACCCAAACAGAGTGAATATGAGAATGCCTCATTGATAAGGGTACCAAGCTAATCGGTTAACACAGGCAAGAATTATGGTTTAATATAAGTTATAACAGTTAATAAGAAGTCTAGGGTAATTGCCCAATAAGTTTATAATTAATGTAAGCCTCTGTGTTACTTTGGGACTGAATGGTTGTCGGACTGAGTGGGCCAGATACCTCTGTCAACAGACCTGGACTTATTGGTGGTTGTGACACTGTCCTGCCAATATTGGCTGCTCCTTTGTGTGGCACTTGGATAGGAGGGTGGGCCTAATTCTGGTTGAAAGTCAGGGTTGTCTCCATTGTAATGGGAATGGAGCTTAATTAGAGGTCAGTCATGATGAACAAGTATTAGCCTCCTAGCATCCTAAATATTGCTGGTCTCTAAGGCGCCTGGTTAGTATGCGACTTATCTTTGGGTGTATTTTAGAGACAGTGCTCCTTTAGCTAAATTGAATTACATGTTATTTAGTGAGTTCTAAGCAAATCTATTAGTAAGTCTATTCTAGCATCAATTCTACTATGTCAGGTATCTTCTATATCAATATAAGTTTCTTAATTTAGACATTTGTCACATTCTCAGTAAATCTGGTAAACTAATAAATTTTATTATTACAGCCAAAAGTTATGAGTTTAAGTTTACAGAAAATGGATAGTAGAAATAACACAGTGATCTCAATATAAGTATTTATTTTTTCAGAAAATGAAATATCTCATTATATATAGTGATGATAGATTGTGAACAGTATGATTTTTATGCATTTTAGGGAGAAGCAGAAAAATAGAACCACGATTTAAAGGTACTAACAATTTTTATATATAGTTTTCCTATGGTAATATGTTGTCACAGTTCTGACTTCATCCTCTAATACTAGTGACATCAGAGAATCACAAGAGTTGGCTTTTATTTCTAAATAAAATGATGAATCTTCTCAGGATACACTAATCCCTGTGGTCAGTGCTCCATTCATGTGGTCCAGAAGAACCTGTGTTTGTGATCTTTGTGTGATAATTAAATAAAATTCAATATGCTCTATGTGCCTTCCCATGATTTCAGAATGCTATTAGTTATCATCTGGTTTATATTTTAAATGGTATCCTGAAAAGACCTTATTTAAATCAATAGTGCCACTGTGCCAGGAAGATAAGAAAATGCTAGGACTGTCACTAAAATAACAAAGAAAAGATGAGGCACTTTCAGGAGAATGTGATTATGTTGCATCCTAGAAATAATTTACCTAATGGCTAGGTTAGCAATGTGATGTTTGGCAATGAGATGAAGACAGGTGATTGACAACTCCATGTGCCTCTAAGTACTAGTGCTACCCCATTCGGTTCCAGAGACCTTTATTGTCTTTTCCTTGAACTAGTCTCTTTTTTTCTTCTTTCTTGTCTTAGCAAACTTTTGAAATACAAACAAACAACATTTTGCAACCAAGAATATAGCCGATGCCACACAAGCCAGCAGGAAAGCAATCACATCCAGCGAGTGGTACTGAAACCAACTGAGGTCATGCGCTGCCACACGAAGGTGCTTGGCTCCCTTATGGCGCATGACAAACTCGATCCAGAAGACAGCTCTGTCCAGGGGCTTTACTGGCTGGTCGTGGTGGATTCTTGATAATCTCATGGCATTTTCTTTATAACTTGAAAGAAAAGCACAAACAGACATTTGCTTTGTGTTTAAATTTTTTTAAAAAGTGATTTATGTGAGATGTGTTTAGCTAATAGATTTAATTTTTTACACACAGGACCTAACAGTTTGACTTTTGCTCAAACAGAATCCAGAGCCAGGCAGGCCAGGCAGGGACACTATCTCAAAGCAACAAACAAAACCAAACCATATAAAGTACAGAACTTAGTATCTGTAATGCAACCTGTGTTTTCCCTTGAAGTTTCTCAATAACTAGAGGAGAATTGATAAATTTCACTTAGGTTTGATCATAGCATAAAGTTCCAGAGTCCGTTCATGGAAATGAGGAAAGTAATGTGGTTAGGGAAGAGGCTCTTTTTTAGCTTAGAAGACATCCTTGGAAGTAGGGAAAAGTGAGAGGACCTGGGTTTTCAAGAGCCACTGTGGGGTCTTATCTGCATCTGTTCTTCTTTGTGCACAAGAGCAGAGGAGCTGTGGGCAGGTAGTGGCTCGTAAGGAAGGGAAAGTCTTTCTTTAGAGGTTTTACTCCTTGTGTGTTAACAGTGCTCCAGTGGATAAACCCAGATCCATGGGTATGTGTGCAGCACAAATAGGACTCAGTGACTTAAAAATAAAAATCAGACAAGAAATGGGAAGGAATGGATCTGAGAAGAGTTAAGGCAAGGGTCTGAGATGGGTTTGATCAAAATTTCATATATTAATATAAATATATCTATATATGTCTTTATAGTATATTTAAAATATCTACTTCTTTTCAGTTGTATTGACTGTAGTTACCTAAATATAGTTTACATGTTCATTCCAATGGATTTTAGGTAAATAATTTTATATTTATAAATCAAATTTTTGGTTTAGATTTTTAGTAGAGAATTTTAATTATATTTTAGAGGTTAAAATTACATATGTTCAATTTTAACACTTTTATGAATACCAAAAACCCTGAAATTTTATTATAAATGAGACAGGATAGCTAATGACTTATTCACATACTGGACACATCACATTGTATATAGAAACAAAGTTTGACTGTAAAAATATTCAAAGTAACTAAAATCAACATTTACATATTCATATATAATCTTTCATGCATTTAACTTCTTGTGAAATTAGAGAATTGAATGCAAATAGCACACCCTTGCAATCTCAGGTAAAACAGCAGTACCATTAGGGTTGGAGTTCATGTGATGTTGTTTCAAATGACATGTATTTTAATATGCAGATGGAGTTTTCTGACAGTAGTTATTCTATTTACTTGCCTATGTGATTTTAAAATCTAGCAACAAATCTAGTGAACATTCTGTGGAGTTGTGCTGAAAAGAATCATAAACTTTTCTACTTTAATTTTTAATAAAATGAATCAATGTATCAGCAATTAAAATCTTTATAACAGTGAGGTTGGATAGACTGCAAAGTCAACGTTTATGAAACACAATAGCTCATTCCAAGAATTAATAACATTTTTAACATGAAGTTCAGTTTCTGAATTGAGAGTTTTATACTGTTTATGCAATTATAGAATACTCAGATGTAAATGTTGAAATTAATGTTTGAGAACACCATGTTAATAGTCATTTATGCATGATTAATGTTGAATACATTACCTTTTCCATTTTGTAGATATTGAATGGTTTATAATGCTTAACTTTTTATTTCTAAGTCTATAAAATAAAAACTACATAAGAATACATGCTAATATTATTACATTTGAAAGATATATTGACCGGATTTTTAAAGCAGATTTATTTTCAATTTTTAGGATATAACCCCAGTAGTTGAAAATGAAACAAGCAGTGCTTACATTTGTCTCTCATTACTTGACACCAAACTAAATTCAAAATGTGTAATTTGTAGAAACATTCCAAAATGATGGACAGTCCATCCATGACAGACAGGGCTTTACATGGTTCAACACTTACGATGGGTCATTAATGACTGTCCTCACAGCGTTGAGAAAATCTGCACTTGACATTGTGTTCATGTTCACCTCCACAGCTGATCCTTTGGCCTTCATGTGAGCAATGTTGTCAGGCTGATCAGCAAACATGGGAACTCCCACCATAGGGATCCCGTGGTAAATGGCCTCATATATTCCATTTGTTCCACCATGAGTGATAAAAGCTCTGGTTTTGGGATGTCCTGTTTTGAGGACAAAGGAAGGAGTGAGTATAGGTTTCAGTCTAATTAGTTAGCAAAAATTCAAAAGTAGAAGGGATGAAGAGTTACACTATAAGGCAGAATTTTCTATAAATGTTGAGCATATGAGACTTTGCTACACCAGAAAATTACACTCCCAGAGACAGGGGAAATTTACTCTTCATTGTCTGGGAGGGTGTTAATGATGTGGTAATGTCTCACATCTGATGGAAACTTGAAAACCAATGAGATTTTTAAGATATCCTTTTGGGCATGGGTACTCTTTGGAGCTGTACAATTTACATCCACCGTAAATCTGGATGTGAAGTGCTGTATTGAGCATTTGATTTGCTTGGTGCTACCCTAGGGTCAATATCCAGTACTACCACAAATGGAAAACCTGAAGTAATATGTAAAAATTGAAAATCATTGGATGTTGTCAACTTACTCAAAGCTAAGCAATTGCTTAACGTTTTTCATAACTATAGAGATTTTTCTAGCCCCAGAGTCTCACCAAGAAGGTCATTTTGGGGAATCCAATCGAACAGCCTCGTATTGGATCCTAAAGTTGCTGGTATCTTTCCTTTGTATCGCCACAAAACCTGTGGAAGACAATGCTGTGATATTATAGGTAAAGACACAAGTTGAGGGTGTGCTAAGACAGTGAGTTATTGGGAACAAGTGGTGTACATACTTTAGGTGGTTTTTGAGAAGGGGGTTACTGATGTGGGCATTTGCAAACACTGAGCAGGATTATGAACAACTAATGACTTCTACTACTGGTCTATTAAGCATAGATTAGTATTTTGATATTTATTACTGAACTATCGTTAGAAATAAATGAGAACACAAATAGATATATTTTAGCAAATCAGAATATGGAGTGAAAATTATTAAAACAAACATAAATGCAAGATGCATTAACTAATTCCATGTAACCTGGTGGCCCAAGCTGTTATCTCGTGAATGTGGTACTTCCTGGTGATTGACGTTAGCTTCTCGTTTGGAGGCCAGTGTTTGTTTACCGTCATCTTTTCTTCCTGCTTCCTTCATGTTTTCTTCCTCCTCCTTTTCTTATTTTCCTTTCCTTCTTTTTCTTCCCTTTTCCCTTATCTTACTCTATTACCATTTTATGTCTATCTCAATGATTATACCATTCTTCAATTTTTTGTTTGATTTTATTTTTTTGAGGGAGAACTAGATATGGCATGTCTACATGTCACTTTTTAAAATCTTATTTTTGGAGTAACGAGGCAAGTTTTTAATTTATAAACAAGAAAGAGAAAGAGACAAGTGTAGGCATAAAAGATAGAATTTTTAAGGTGCTTATAAGCATATTACCTCTATACAATCATATGAATACTAATCAGTACATGAGTGATTATAGATTATTCCATGAATAGGAATGAATAGCGACTTGAATTGAAAATGATAATGATAAATGCTAAGGTTAACTGAGTGCCATGAATTATAAAAGTAATTATATTTTAAAATAATATTTTCATTTGGATTGTAGAATATTTGATTTAGAAAGAATAATAGACTTATGCTCTTACTTGGAAAATGCCAAAATTTTTATATTGTCTTAACAGGATTCAAAAAGTTGGAATATAGTTTTTAGTATGAATTCTTTCTGAAGGGTGTATGCTCTCTTTCTTTTCAAAAGAATGCTGGTAAACCAAATTTCAAATATCCAGTGTCAGTCAGTCCAGATCAAATGATTTTAGAAGTGGCCTAATGTTTTCTTCTCTATCCTTTATATAGAAAATGACTATAGAAGTCTACATCTTCACAATAACTGTATAATAAAGCAAATGAACAAATAAAACATCATTTATACGTTCTATCAGTAATACTGAAAGCCGGCACTAGTTGTGTTTAGTGGCTTACAGATTTCAGCTTCAGATTTCTAGCAAACACCACTACCCTTTGCACTATCCCATCAGTCCAAAGAAGTTCTGGTCTCCAGGATCTGAGGTTGTACTGACCTTCTGAGGAATCTGGGCCAGGGCTGAAGCAATGAGACTGGCCTTTTCTTCTGTCAGGTTTTTCACCATTGACCCCAAGGAAAACACAACAATACCATGTTCCCCTGAGCTCTGGACAAATTCTTCCATTTCCTGCAAACATAATGTCATGTTGATATTGTGTAGATTCATTAGGTGAGATTTTGTTCATTTACAGTTCTATGTACAAAACATGGAACTCAAGGTCAAAGAAGTTTTTATGTTTGTCTTTCCCATATCATGTAAAACAGATAGTAACTGTACCAGGAAGCGTTTCTTTTTAAAAGTGCATAAAGTATACACAAGAACCAACGTGACTCCAAATTACCACAGAAGAGACCAGAAAATAGGGACAGCTCCTCTTTTTTTAAGTTGATATGTAATTCACAAAGTTTAACCGAAAGAAAATACAACATTTGTTTACTTGAATGTACATAATTAAATCCTGAAAATCAGGCTTTAGAATTATTATCATGCCTGACAAACCCAAATAATTCTAATGCAATGATTATATAACTTCTGTAATATTTAAATCTGTCTAGCCATTTTCTTATTTTTACTTAATATAGATGATTCTCAATACGCATCAAATTTTATTTGTTGATCAAATGAAATGTTCTCTAACAATCACCTAAAATATCCCTTTATCTTCTTAAAGAGATTATGCTAAAACCTAAAGCCATCTCATCATCATCAGTTCTTGGAGATTCCATACCTGTCATTACTACAGGTTAGTAGTAATGACACTACAGGTCACCACGTTTTCTATTAAAGCCACAGGACTAAGGTATGAGGTCCTGCCTGATTATGAAGGCCCTTCACATGTGCCTCTCTTACTCATCAAGTCCTAAACAATTCATCAGAACTTTCTATGTACTGTTTCTCTACCAAACAGTTGGAGAAGGTTTCCCTGTTTACAGCTCTGTCTGGCACATGAGGAAGACTTTAAAGTCCCATGGCAATCCACCCATAGTTAGGTTTTTCCATTCCCCACTGCAGTATCCACACTATAGAAACACAGACATTTTAATACATCTTTTATTTTCTTTTTCTATTTAGTTTCTTGGTTTGGGAGGTCCTTCTTGCTTACGCGTTGCTTTCATTGGTTGAATAAAGGAACTGCCTTGGCCTTTTGATAGGGCAGAACTTTGGTAGGCAGGGAAGACAGAACTGAATTCTGGGAGGAAGAAAGCTGAGAGGGAGAACCTCCATTTAGTTGCCAGAATCAGATATGCTGAATCATTCCCGGTAAGATACAACTTCCTGGTGAACACAAATTTTATAGAAATGGGTTAAATCAAGATATGAGAGTTAGCCAGTAAAAGGCTAGAGATAATGGGTCAGGCAGTGTTTAAGTGAATACAGTTTCTGTGTGATTATTTCAGGGGTTAAGCTAGCTGGGTGGCCGGGACAACAAGGGGCCCTATTTGCTACAACAGTTTCTTTTTAAATTTTTATTGAAAATATATTCTTCTCTCATAGAATACATCCCTACCATAGTTTCTCTTCCCTCCACTCCTTCCAGCACCCCACCACTTCTATTCTCCTCCAGATCCAATCTAAGCTTAAATTCTCATGTTCAAATGACCCAATATAGTTCAAACAGAGCAATTGTGATGAGAGCAATAAGTTCTAACAGAGTAGAGCTACTCAGCAATGCATCTCTGCTTTAAAGCTGTTAACTTCAGAGGGAAAATCAACTATCATGTCATGCAGCCCTTAAGGTCTTACCCTTCATAGACCTACCTTAGGTAAAGGCTTGGCAGGTTTGCAGTGCAGTCCTCCCACAAACTCAAAATTAGGTAAATATGGACGAGGGAATTCAAAGTCCCAATATGTTCGCATCAGCCAAATCTCAGCTTTCCCCATAGTCTCACATAATGTGGTGGGTCTTCCTGGAGAGTACACATAATACTGCATGGTGGAAATTTGCACTCAAGTTTGCCAAGTAAAAATGTATCCTATATTTCCTTACCAGCTATTGGGAAGAAAACCTGGGTCTTCTAGGATACTTATCATGCCAATATTTTAAAAGAGAAGGAGAGTATGGAAAAGGACCAAATCAGGAATAGTGAAAGAAGGGCAATGTGCAAATACCATCTCCAAACAATAAAGCAATTAAAATGTAAGTGTAGTTACAATTATGGATGAATTCCACAAAGATCCATTTTCTCCAGTAAGGAGCAGGAGAGAGATTATTTGCATCCTCTAAACTAGCTGCCACTCTTCAGTTGTTCTCCAGTCTCTAGCTAGGAAAAAAATTTCTATTGTGCACAGGGTCATAGTCTCACTTTCAGCAATATGTTAGACAAGTACCATTATGCAAATGATTTATCACTACTTTCTTAATCAGGAAGTCTGGATTAATTCTTTCAATACAATAAACATTGAGATATGAGATGCAAATATAGGGATTGCCAATTCCTCTCTTAACACTTACTGTTAATAAAAAATAATGGGCCAGGCAGTGGTGGTGCATACTTTTAATCTCAGCACTCAGGAGGGAGAGGCAGGTGGATCTCTGTGAGTTTGAGGATAGCCTGGTCTACGAGAGTTTCAGGTCATGTTCCAAAGCTACAAAGAAACTCTGTCTTGAAAAACCAGAAAGAAAGAAAGAAAGAAAGAAAGAAAGAAAGAAAGAAAGAAAGAAAGAAAGGAAGGAAGGAAGGAAGGAAGGAAGGAAGGAAGGAAGGAAGGAAGGAAAGAAGGAAGGAAGGAAGGAAGGGAGAAAGAAAGAGAGAAAGAAAGAAAGAAAGGAATAAAGAAAGAAAGAGACTAGAAAAATATTACATACTACTTTCAAGAGCTGTTTAGAGATGATATCTATATTAACAATTACTAATATTACCCAAAAAGAAAACATGTACTGCAAGTAAGAAAAGAAATATGTGATGAAATATTTTTAAATAAACCTGTTGATCTTGTGCAGGCAGGGTAATATTACTTTCAATGGCCACGATTTAGCATTGTTTTGAAACACGCATGGACTCACACAGCCTAATCGTATAGTTATGTAGCAAATAATCATTGCTCAAAGATACTGAGCTTGGAGTTTCCAGGCAGTGCATTAAAACCATCTCACATCTCCACCATCAGAGTGTTTATATCCCTTGCTTGCTCTACATTATGGGTACTTCTTCTAGCCTTTTAGACAATTGCAAGAGAAGAGTTTTAAATGATTGATATAACAATTACAATAGTTGCTGGAATCTATACGAAAGCAGCCATACATGGATCTTGGAGATGAAACAGTTGGTAACATATTTGTCCCACAGCAAGATTCTCTGGGTTTATATTCTTAGTGTTCAATAAAAAGCTGTCAGTAACCCATGCCTGTAATCTCAGTTCTGTGGATTTACAGAGAAATGAATACCTAGAACTCATTTTATAACTAGACTAGCCAAATCAGAATTGAACCTCATTGAAAATCTATCTTAATAATTAAGGTGAGAGCATTAAGAGAGATCGGTCACTGCCCTCCAGCCTTCACAGACATCCACACATAGCATCACAGGCATGCACACATATACCCAAGCAGTGATTCATGGTTATAAGTATAAAGCCCATAAAAAGTAAAGAAAATTTGATTGAATATTTATGCTTGTTAGTAAATAATTTAGTAATTACACTTTTAATGTACTAAGATTGCAAAAAGATTGTATGAGCCAAAGGATGAGGGAGTTTGCTGTGAAATTGCAGATCCTAGTAGTATCAGAAAGCTGCACTGTAAATCTTATCAACAAGAGTTCTCACACAGGGCCTGAACAGGAACAATAACCATAGACTTGCATGCCTAAGTGGATAGGGAAAGACCTGGAGGCCTCAACCATTCACAAAGAACTGTCAGTAATGCTGAAAGTAGCAGAAATAGTCTTTCCCAGACAGGAGGATACCAGGGGCTTACCGAGTTTTCAGCCCTGAACATATATTCAAGTAACATACAAATCAAGCAGACTGTATTTATGTATTTAGAAATGCAACACACACAAACATATACATATGTGTATGCTATAATTAATGAAAAATAGGTGATGAAAGAGATTAGAAGCACATATATGGAAGGGATTTAAGTACAAAAGGGAAATGTGAAAATGATATAATAATATATTAGTCATAAAAATAAGAGAAATAAATTTCTAAAAGTCATAAACTGTGCTAAGATTTATCCAGATACATAAAAAAGTTAACCACATAAAATTCAATAATCACAATATACGAAATTGTCAAAATAGAGAACAAAAAATTGTGATAAAAGGCATTTTCTATTTAATTGACATTCACTTGTAGCTTTATGTTTTTAAATAACATCTATTATGTTTCATGGTATGACAGAGCAGTCTGCTGAGAACTTCACATGTCCCAGTTGCTGGAAAAAAGATATGTTGCAGTTGTCCTGCTGCTTGCAAAGTGTCAAAATTGGCATTGCTTTCAAGCTAGATCTGTAAGCTCACATAGGGAATATTCGGTGATCTTGCTCTCACAGGGCATAGGGATTCTTTCGAAGTCCAGTGCAGAACGCTTGATGTGTTGTGATCTGGGAGAATAGTCTGATAAGACAGAAATGTCATGTCTGTCTTCTCTCCATGAGCCTATTGAGAAGAGGCTTCAGGTTGAGTCAATGGTTCATATCCTAGATGCACTCCAGGGTCTTGTCAAAGAAACTATAATCTGCAGAGCCAGAACAGAAGTGTAGCTGAGCCACAGCAGAAGCACAACTGAGTCACAGAAGAGCCACTGTAGAAGCACAACAGACCACAGCAGAAGCACAGCAGGGCCACAGCAGAAGTACAGCTGAGTCATGGCAGAGACACAACACATCCATAACAGAGCCTCAGCAGAGACACAGCAGGAGGACAGCTAACTGAGCCACAGCAGAGCCACAACAGAGCCACGGCAGAGCCATGGCAGAGCCACGGCAGAGCCACAGCAGAGCCACGAGGGAAGCACAGCGACAAAACTGTCATGATTCATTTCTGAAAAATCACTGCTGTGTCTCCTCACCCTACTCTGCAGAGGGTGAGCATCTATTCAATTGAAGTGGCAATTTAAGTATGAAGCAAGTCAAACATTAACTTCCAGACTTATAAATGCACAAAAAGGAGAGAAATCTGTCAGTTATTGTTTATGTATAGCACCTATAAATCCTTTACTCATGAAATTAGATAATTTAAATATATATGCCTATTGGTCAATATTAGTATGAGTTGGTTACTATCAAATGCTAGTAATATAGTTTCACATCAAATAAATAAGCATAAATTTATTTTTCTTATTGTTATATTTATGAATTTGAATTTAGTGGGAGCTAGCTTCTTCAATTTGTGTATATTTCTATTGATTTATTTCATTTTATATTCTATTCACGTATTACAATTATTTAAGTTATATTCTAATTTTTTTCTTTTTTCACATTGGTTTCTCCTCTATATGACATTGTTTCCCTCATTGCTAAATTTCAGAAAATATTTCAGGCTCACCTCTTACTTTCAGAGTTTAAACCTTAAAATCAATATTTTCTTCATAGATTAGGGTTTCACTTTATTGGGAGATGGAATCTAAAAGATAGGTATTCTTACTGCCCATTTTCATTTCTTATGGTGTTCAGGCATTTGTGTAGGACAAAGCAAGGATTGACTGCACAAGTAAATATATTTATCATCTCCTTATGTCTAAACATTATCTTCAATAGTGAGAAACCTATATCACCACAAGGTGATACATATTTACTTCTTCAATCCTCATGAACAAATAGGGCTGTAAAATCTATATTTTCTGACCATGGTACATTTATCATAAAATTTATGAACACTGAAACAGTGAACAGAATCATTTGCAAAGAGAGCACTACACAAATATGCTTCAGTGCATATATTTCTCTAACAGACTTATAAGTAATGAGTCTTGTTGATTTTTTACCGGGCTGAATCAAGAAAGAAACATCTCTAACAGGTATGGAACTTTAGCTACAACAGGAGAGGTCAGCCTAAAATATTTGATATTCTATATACTCAAAGTCTATAATCATTTATGGATACAAACATCTATCCAAACATGAATAAATAAAACCAGCAGTGTTGAAAAATATAAAATATCTGTATCCCACTTAAATCAACTCAAGATTAGAAGGAGGGTTCTTATAAAAATATAATTTCATAAACCAATGGCACTAGGCTTAAAGAAGGTATTTCAAACATTATTATTTTATCTCATAATGTTTGTTTACAACACATTTGATAAAACTTACTTTAAGCTTTAACACTTACTTTTTGTGAAACATTTTATAAATAATAAGATTCCTATGAGTGTTCAGTTTGATTGGTTTGAAGCTATGCAGCCATCATAGCAATGTGAGTTGGAATATATCCACTACTTCAAACAGTTTCCTCTTGTCTTTATTATTATTTGAAGAATATTATCATTGTCTGTATTAAAGGAAACTTAAAGATATGTGTCCTTAGCAAAATGTTATGGTGTACAATGCATTACAGTCAGCTGTTACTTTGTGGTATACACAGACACACACACATACACACATCTATGTATGTATGTATGTATCAAAGACTCACTCATTTTGCAATTGGACATTTGGACCTTAACCTGATACCTTCTTATTTCTAGCATGTCTAGCTCCCAGAAATCATTATATCTCATTATTCCTCTGTAATTTTGACTACTTTATATTTAACTATATATGGTATTATATAATTTTATCCATCTGTGTGAAATCTATTACATAAATTACAACATGTACCAATATCAATCTATGAGTTACAATACCATAATTTCTTTTTTAAGGGTTATTGATATTTTTTCCTGAGACACAATCCATAATTATATATGCCCATGATTTACCAGCAGACATTTAAATTGTTTTTGTGTCCTAACAAACTCCATGGTTCCAAGTGTCTCTACCTTTAGTGCTATGATATTAGGAGTGTGGATTCAAGGATCAGTATCAAACCCTCATATTTGTACAGCTATCCCATCATTGACTAAGTAATCACATCAGCCACTTTGTGATTATTTTCATTTGTGGAAGTATTTTTAAGGTAATCAACATGTCTAATGATTCCTTAACAGAATCTATCTGAATAAACCAGTCTTAAAAATGAAGAAATGATGCACAGAGAAATTAAAAATGTGATTTAAGGATAAGATAAATAATTTGATAACAAAATTTAAAGATGCCTTAATTTCTAATAAATTTAAAAGTCTTCCCTTCTTTAAACTCTTGCTTTGTTATATAATCTGTTGCCGTGATAAAATTTATTTGCTAAGTAATATATGAAGTTAATAAGTTTAGTTAGTTAACTTTGGGAGACTAAAATCTGATTTCAGGGTGCGACATTGATTTTGGGGTGATGGGATCCTGGTTATGTCAAAGCACAGAATCATCATGGCTGAAATGTTTGCAGAGGAGAGAGAGTAGTCACTCTGGACGACAAGGAGCACAGATCAGCATAAGGAAGAAGAACTGCTACGTGCACTCCTGGAAATGCACAATCATGCTTGTCATACCCCTGATACTCTTACTCCCTTGGCTGTTAGGTGTATAAAATGACTAATCACTTCATCTTTAAGATCTACAATCCCACTGACACACGATACAGGCTTATGAATGAGTTCGCTAGGCTGTGTCCTTGTGCTCAACTCTGTCTCCTGAAAACATAAGTGTAGTCTCTAACCACAGTCCAACTTTTCTACTCCCCTAAGGAATAGAAGAATAACATTATAATGGAAACTGTAGGAAGGGAATGGTTTATGAAGTCTCTTGTGTTCAGAATAATAATATAAAAATAATGCAGTTCTTTTCTTTCACTATCAGCTTATTCACCCTGGGTATTTATAACACTGTAAAATTACACAATTGCTAAGGGAAGTCATTATATAGTACCAGTTTTGGACACTGTATTCCTACTGAAATATTTCCTGTTCAGAGATGTTTAGTGATATGACTCAGTGGGCAAAGGTACTTGCCACCAAGCTAAAGGATAAGAATTCAATCCCCAGGATTTGCTTGGCAGAGGGGGAGATGCCCTACACAAACTGTGGCTTTACAACCTCCACCTGCACACCATGGCACAGATACACAGAGAAGGAAGTAGAATAAGAAATTTGGTAACTTGAGGAAAACAATGGACTTAAGTATTTAGCAAACAATTTCTCAAATGTTCGGATTTGTAAATCTAGATCATTATCAGGTAAAGTAAGCTGCAAAATCTCTATTTACAAAGGCTGTCATGGGCGTTGTACTATTCTTATGACTTCTTTAAGAGGAAAGACTTAGGTCATACCAGAGGCCACATGCTCTGGGATTTTTTTTTCTTTTTAAATTTTACTTTTCCCACACAGGACAAGAGCAGTTTTAGAAATATTTTCACCTAACCCCATATGGTTTGTGGCTAAAGCTTTCAGTTATTCAAGAAAGACTAGAATTTATCCGTTTAGTACATTCGAAGACATCAAAATTCTCATTAATCCTTCTGGGCTCCACTAAGAAGTACCTCCCACCTAGTGTATGAGTGTGTTCTTTGAGAGTCTCATGTAATCTGCCTTGGTCATTTTTACCCTTTAACCAACTCTTTACAGATCCATCCTCTTCCATACTCACCCAACCTTTTGTCCTGTTTTGTTTTTTTTAAATCCTTAAAGATAAATTTGTATTGGCTTAATATACTTAAATGCATAGTCTTCCAGCGGAACTTGTAGAGTTATTACACTCTCAGAGAAAACTCCCTTTCTAGCAGCCAATAATTGCCAATAGCTCTGGATTATGGCTGGGATTTCAGACTAGGTCCTGTCAGCAGCTCAGATTTGGTACAGCTTTGGCTAGCACAGGCTTTGTCCCTATTGTTGCAGTCAGAGTGAGCTCATCAGTGTAGGTGTCCTATAATGTCCAAATGATGCTTTTCCTTCTAGTCATTCTCTACTTCTCTATGTATCTCTGTGTATGTACATAGAAAGCCTTATTGTCTCTGCTTGCAACTCTATGTATGTGTATATAAGGTCACCATTGTCTCTGCTTACCTCTCTGTATGTACATGAGAAGTCATGTACTGCTCTGTCTACGTCTGTCTGTGTACATATACATGATGCCAACCTCAGATGTCATTTCTCTGGTGTTATTTACGTTTTAATGTCAGTGGTGTTAGGGGATCTCTCAGTAACTTGCCAAATGAACTCGACTGGGTGACCAGCAGTACTCCAGGGAACAGGTATTGCAAGTGTCATGCTTGCAAAGTCGATATTTTACATACTAAGCTATGGTACTACCCTTTCTTTTGCAGATAAGAATTAATTAATTTTAGGTACAGCTTTTCATGGAAATGTAATTATGGCTCTGACATTGAAGAGTTAATGAAGAGTATAGTCTAAAGTATATTCAGCCTTAAATGTTTATTCATATATAGTATTACATATAATGTAATTTTGAATGTAAGCTGTAAATTTTTTATATTTGTTCTATGTAGGAAATTATTAGGTACCTATTTTATATTCAGTTAATATTCCTTTATACAAATGAAACAAGAGGTAGGGAAGAAAAAGAAAAAATAGAGGGAGGTAGAAAAGAGTGTAAAGTGTGTGTGAGGATGTTTTGCACCTAACTTCTGAAAGAAAATGCCACACTGGCAGCATTCAGTATTAAGATGTGAACTAATTAATCCCCCTGAGCACTAACATATCTGGAGAAAAGACATCAGGAAAGAAAGAAAATATGGGAGAAAATTTCATGAGCATCACGAAGAGCAGTAATATAAACAACCATCTAGAACTGACTTTCTCGGTTGACATTTTATCTGATTGATTTTCAAAAGAAAACTTTAAGGCCCAAAGGCTTTAGAAACATGGGAGATAGAGATGCATTGTGATTAGAGATGGCTAGCCCTCCTGAGATGCTTAGGGCAAATAGCAAGCAGCAGACTAGCATGTAAATGTTGGTTTTCCAATGATAGACTTTTATGATTTCTAATGTATTTTTTTTGCAGATAAAGAAAGACTGAAGAATGGAGAGATTATATGTTATCATAATGTTTTCCATTTTGTTTTGTGGGTATGTCATAATTTACCTTAGTAAAGGAAAATGTATTAATATTTGAATGTTGATTTGAACATTGTAAAGCTACTGACTAAATAAGAATATTTTCATTCCAGAGGAAGAAAACTGCATATAAATCAACACTACTACAACATTCTTTGAAGAATTTTCTTAAACAAAAACAATAATTAAAGACTTGTACAGATATACCATGTACATTCACTCAATTGTGGCTCACACAGCGGGTGGATAACTTTTGCTGAATGAATAAGAACGAAGGCACCTGGGGTCATTATGACACAGATGTTGAGACTCACCTAGAACTCTGCTGTAGTATGAATCCCATCTTCCCCAGTAGGACTGAAATATATAGTCCTGCAGAGGATAAGATATGGTGTTCTTAACCCTTTCACCAAAGGACATCTGGTCAGTGAGCTCTGACAGGGCTGCAGGTACATAAGAAATAGGTGCTGGGATTTTCCCACAGTGCCTCTCCACTGTAAAGGCTGGAGAGAAGCGCAATGTATACACAAACGGAATTCCCAATTTCAGAGCAACCAGGTCGCCACAAATTGTTACTGGGTCGGCTATTAACACATCAAAGCCACGGTTCTGAAGTCTTGACATTAGTGTGGGATTGTTTAGTACACCATCACAGATCTGAATGTTTACTTGATAGAAAGTCTCAAGGAGCTTTCCTAGTTCTTTGTAGAATGTCCACATGGTGAGAGGTGTTGGCCTGTGGTCTAGCCACAGGGCTATCATGTGTTCAATTATTTCATCTATATTGCTTTTCTTGTAGGAAACTGGAATCTCTTCAAAGTTCATAAAGTCATCAGGACTGGAATTGATGAATAAAGTTTCTGATGTAGCCAGTACAGTCACACTGTGATTTCGTTGAATCAATTCTTCAAGGAGGATTTTAATATTTAACCAATGGCTGCCATCTGTAGGCCAAATTAGCACATTCCCGCTGAGGACAATTTCAGCCAGAGCCAAATGAAAAACATAGAGCTGGGAAAACTTCTTAATCATGGTGGCATCCACTGTTGGAAACTGTCTACTGCGGGACTTTTAAAATTAAAAAGAAAAGTTCAATGTATTTAAGTATATTTCAGCTAAAATAATATTGAATATGATAATCTAGCTACACCCATTCATAGATCAACTGTTATATAAGTTAAGAAGGAACTTGTGTAACTGAACTTAATATGTATCAACATGATTATAGTGTGGGTAGAAAAGAAATCTAGCCCAAGTGTAATGAAAAGAAGTTATGAAATATGTGTGCCTGTGTGTTCTCTGATGCCAGATCCACTTTGTAATATCATGTGTCCTCATTATAAGCTATCTGTATACATTATAATTTTAGATTCTCCACCATTGGATGCCAAACATTATCTCCTTCACTTCATTGAGAACTGTAATTGAGTCCTGAAACTAATATGACAAAGTCATCCAACTTGGAGTATATTCATAACTTTATTTGACTCACTGCCAAACCTGCATTCTCATACACATTCAGGAAGAAAGCTGGTAAAACTTCTATTTATTGGCTATTTCCCCCAACAACTACTTTTATAAGTTTTAGATTGATTGGATAGTGTGGTACACTAGTAAACATTGTGTAGAGGATGCCCCTTTTACTCTGAGTTATTTACAATTGCTTCTCACTTCCTTATTACAGGCTTTCCTTTTTCTCCATAAGGCAACATTTAAAACAATTCAAAACACAGTTCCTTGAAGGTTGTTGAAATAGGGTCTGTTTTACCTCTTTGTAGGAGACTACACAAGAGGAAGCTAGGAGTACAGTGAGCCCCAACCAAAGGCATTATATCCTTTGAAGATTTGAAGATGCTGGAGAATTATCTGCACCTCTCAGCCTCACTTTTCTTGGGTGTAAATGAAAGACAACAGAACTAATTTATTAGATTGCTTTTTAAGTTAACAGTCTCTGTAAAGCTACCATAAAGGCTGCTTCTCTCAGAGGAATGACACTATATAAGATCTCAACTGTCTATAAAAGTTTCCAAGTTAGCAGATTAAAGAGTCCAGTGATTAAATTAGTGATCTAGCTTTTGAGATGGGTTTAGAGGTAACACTTGAAATTCTGAACCAATCTGAACCCAGCAAAGGCAGTTACATAACTTTGGAATGTCAGACTTATCACGATGCTACTAAACAGAGCCATGATAACAAATAATATAATCAAGAGGATAAAAAGCAAAGCTGAAATATGGACATTTAGCATGCAACATTACTTCACAATCAGTTTCTCTTGAATCCTGAAATTTCAGGTTCTTCAGTAACTGAAGGACCACGAAGAAGGAGAAAGAAAAACCGGGAATGATGCACTGTTAGAACTGTGATTTTTATAATTTCTGAGGCGATAGCTTCAGTTTGGAAACTACTGTAGTACTTTGCAGTCAATTCAGTTTTGAAACACAGAAGAAGCCAGATGAGAGTGTGAAATATCTCATATTGGTGTCCATAGAGAGTGTCATTAGCAGCACCACTAAATTACTTGGGAGTTTAAAACAGGAAATTTTCAGTGTCAGTATTTGAGTTTTAAATGATCCTTGCTAGGCAATAAAATAATTTTATTATGCTAAGATAAAGAAATACTACATTTAGTTAACAACAGATGCATGCATTTATTTAGAAATTATACTTGGATGGTAAAGACTTTATCTTCATGAGAATTGCCTTAGGCTTCTGATGTATTTTGATCCCTAGTTTCATATACTACCAAAATATTTCACAATTATAAATTAAAATAATGTAAGTACATTTTATTTATGGTTGTTCATAGGAATTAAATTTCCATAAATGGAAAGAGAATAATTTGTATCAAATCTGTCTGATTTTATAATGAAAGTGAAACTTGGATAGATAAAATTACTTATTGATTTCCAAATCTTTCTTTTACATTAATTAATTAGTCTCCATGAGAACCTGGTTCAAATAAACATCTGAATACAGTGTTTAGTTAAAATAGTTTTGTTGATATTTTAAATTTCTCAGTTAATTTTTAAACATAATACTATACTATATAATTATTTATAATATATTATCCTAAATATACAAAAGATGCTCCTTCAAATTCCTGCTTGTCTTTTAGTGGTCAGAGCATAAAACTTATATTAATGCATATTGGATTTTATATATTCTACTATTATGCAGTATCTGTATTATTTTCTCTTTGAAATATTGCAAAATTTTGGTGGCGTTTTTGAAAATACCATAAAATAAACATAAAATTTACCTGTTTTAAGTTTAAACAATCATATTTGAAATATGCAGACCCTTTTTCTTATTTTCAGCTAGAGATTGTTTACAGCAGTCTCTTAGAGCTAGAAAAGATATCCCAGACAACAGATCTCAGAGATCAGAGAGCCCCAGAGAGCTATATTCCTTAAGGAATAGTGAATGGCATAGCAACAACATGGGTAATTAATCTTCATGTAGCAAATTAAGAATAGCTAAAAGACAGAATTAAAGTTGTCAAAAAAACTAAAAGAAAATATCTAAGAATGTTCAAATAAAACTATGTTAAATACCTGATAATTTTTATCTTAAATTTAAATTGGATGAAAAAGTTCTGGAGTCTGGTATTGTAATCCCTCAGCATATTCCATCTTGATTAAAATTATTTTGGCTATTCAGGGTCTTTTGTGATTTCATATGAGTTTTAATCTAGCTTTGTTTCATTTTTCCTATTTCTGAAAGGAGTGTCATGGGGATTTCAATTAGGATTGCACTGAATCTGTAAGTTGCTCTTGGTAGCATGGTCTTTTTTACAATATTAATTCTACTGATCCATGATCATGTGGAATCTTTTCATCTTCTAGTGTTTTCTTCGATCTTTTCCATCAGATATTCAAAGCTTTCATTGCAGAATTCTTTCAGCTCCTAGGTCAAGTTTCTTTGATATATTTTTGAAGCTACTATGAATAATAGTTTTCCACGATTTCTTTTTCAGCATTCTTGTTATTGGTGGGTACTACACACTATATATGGCTACTTATATTTGTAAGTCTATTTATATCTTCATGCTGAATCTATTGATCATTTTGTGTTTTCTGATGGAATTTTGGGGATCTCGTAAAATATCATCTGCAAATAGGGATAACTTGACTTGTTTTCCTATTTGTGGTCTTTTAATTTCCTGCCTGTGTCTTATTGATATAGCTAGGGCTTCAAGCACAACATGAAAAGACAGGGATTTTAGTAGGCTTTGTTTTGTGTTTTTGCCATTTAGGATGATGTTGTCCATGAGTTTATTATGTTGAGATAGTCCAACCTCAACTGATATAACTACAATACTCTCTACAACTAAGCCTCAGTGAAAATAAGAGAAGAGGAGGTGGGAAGGTAAGAGCAAGGAATTCAGGACCCCTGCTGCTTGACATTGTACCTAGACACAACAGGGAAAATGCATCCATGAAATCTCACCAATATGGTTACCTAAATAAGAGCAGAATAATGGCATCAGATGACATGACAATATAGATGGGGAGAATTCAATATGGTCCCCCCTCCCAGATAAATAGCTACAGGTGGCTAACAGCTCCCAAATGAGGGAGAACCAGTCTCCTTTAGTAAAAAGCTCCTGCCTTGGTTTGTAAACCCCAAGTACTGAGCTCTGGACACTTGCACACATAAGCAATGCTAAATGGACTCAGCGAACTTTATACATCTATAAATACATATATTGCATATGCATGTAACAATAATAATTGACAAAGAAATCATGACTGGGAAGGAGAGGGGGAATGTGGGAAAAGTAGAAAGGTAAATGAGGGGAAGGCGATATAGAGACAGTAATAGTGTATTAAGTTATCAAAAACAAATTACAACAAAATACTAAAATAAGAAGACACAGGAGATTTATTTGAACATTATTTAAGTTATTAGTACATGATTTTACTTTAACATACCTGATATTTTGAAATCTCAATATTTTTATCTGTAATAATGATTTTTCTTGCTCAGAAGTGAAATAACAAAGTTATGTGATTATATATATATATATATATATATATATATATATATACACCTAGTAACAGGATAAGTTAACTATTGTTAGCTACTATCAATACAGATCCATGAGTTTTAATGGAATAGTCATGATTTGGAAAAATGTTTAATTTTGACATTGTAAGATCCAATAGCTAGTAATTACCAGAGATTAAGAACCCACTCTGTGGTTCTCATTACATTCTTTCACAGAGAAGTAATCTCTGGGATATTTGGTTTATTTGTTTCCTCAGTTGTGACAATTTGAGACCTGAATGTCTTTGGGGTCATTACAAAACTTGCATTAGAACAGGGGAGGAAAGCAGATGATAATTTCAATGACCCTTTGGAAGGAGATCCAAACCCATTGCTGGCATCATTCTTATTACTGCTCTACATCAATGATATATTGCACAAAATGAGGTACTTACTCCAGCATGTCAGCATTTTTTTATTCTTACCTGATCTTTTTAAAAATGAGTGTTCATGTCGCTCAGATAACCAGGTAACTATGTGGTAAGAAACAAACTTATATAGGCATTTTGAGTCAGAAGAGGGTAATTCAATTAGCAATATGATGCGGTATATCAAGAACATCTACATAAACCCTCATTGTTTTCTCATGAACAAACTGGTAAGAAAGATTAGTCTCTCCTGCCCTGAGTCTAGAATAGTGTGATTCTATAATCAGCATTAACTTAAAAACAAAGAACAATGGGCTCTGTGATTCTGAAACTTCCTCCTGAGGAAGGCTAATCTCACAGGTGTGATAGGTAGTAATCATGAGAACTATGAGTATAAAGCTGAGAATGGCTTGCTAATGCTCCTGGAGTGAGGAAGTAGCAAAGACCAAGGCTCTCCACTCACCCTCTGCATGTCCAGCTATTTTCAATAAAACATATGTTCTTCTTTTGTCAAAACAAATCCCTCTAAACAATTCCAAGCTGAAATACTTAGTATAACTTACAAGAGACTATTAAAATATATATTGAGGACCTAGAGAGATGGTTCAGTAGGAAAGAGCACTCAGTGCAGAAGAGTGAAGACCTGAGTTCAAAATCCAGCACTCATGTGAAAACAATCATGAGTATGGCCACATATGTCTGTAACCCTAGAACAGTGAAAAACTTGGCTGTTTAGGGAAGTGTTCACTTCAGTGATAAATTCTGAAAGGAATAAGGCAGAGAATGACAGGACAGAAAACCCCCACATCATCCTCTTACATCTGGCATGAACAGGCACCCACTGTCACACATGTGTACATAGGCCACCACTCTCTCACACACACACACGTGTACAAACACACACACACACACACACACACACACACACACACACTGAATTAACAACGATGTCATCTCTACCATTTTTCTCATATCCCCCATTTCTCAAATTGATCTACACTAATAGTAAATCACATGTAATAACCAGAATATATACTAATAGTAAATCACATATAATAATCAGAATATATTATGCTAATTTTGGTTTCCAGTTTAGGCACAATTTCCAGTCCAATGATTGCTTTTCAGGGAGACAAATATTTGCTATTTAACAGCTTCCTGGTGAAATCTAAAAGTTTTTCAGGATGGTACTCACTTTTGATTATTCAAGCAAAGTCTATCTCCTCTACCCTATTTCTGTATCTTCCTGCATAACTAATAGATTACTCCCTTCATAAACATAATGCCTCTGGCTTTACATCATTCAAATAACAATCTGTAAACTAAGCCAGTGCCTGGTGAATATTAGGAAATCCATTGTTAGTGAATATAACAAACCTCAGAAAAAAGTGAGAGAAGAGCAAAGACTATTTGACTTTTAGACTAACTATGGACACATTAATGTAAGCAATATACATGTTTTATAACACTAGATTTGCAATTACTCACCAAATAAAATCTATATTGCATTTAAGTAATTAAGTAAAATAATTAGATATTTCATTTTGTGTTTTTACTTTAGCTGTGTACAACAAATAAAGCTTTCAAATGTCTTTGACTTTTATCTTAGTTGTTATTAAGCACTAGTTGGAGACTCTATGTATAATAAGGATATTTTTGTAGATGGCAATCAATACAACAAAAGGCTTATGAAATATGTAATTTCTTCCAGATGTATCTACAAAAGACTAAAATTTCTAGGCAAATTTTAATCCCATATAAATTCTAAATAAGATTTAATCTTTTTTAGCAACCAAATTATTTCTCAAAAACTTTATTTATATAGTGGTTGAAACATTAAGTTTATAAAATTAGTAAATTGGTCCCATAATCTACAGCCAATGTTTGTTTAAAAATATTCTTTCCTTCTTCCATGTGGGTATACGAGTGAACTGCTATGCAAACTTGAAATTATAGATTTACACAAAGAAGAACTTACTGAAGCCATGTTTATATTTAAATAATAGAGCTAGAATGTCTACATACCTAAAGCTTTACTATAATAGGAATCCCATGGCTTCCACAGAGTTTCGAACATGTAGTCCTGCATTCGGTAGGAGATGAAGTTTCTTACTCGGTCAGTGAAAGACATCTGGTCTGTGAGCTCTGACAAAATTGCAGGAACATAGGAAGAAGGGAATGGGACCTTTCCACAGTGCTTTTCCACTGTAGAGGCAGGAGAGAAGCGTAAGGAATAGATAAACGGAATTCCCAGTTTTAAAGCTACGATATCGCCACAAGGAAATACTGGGTCCGATAACAGAACTTCAAATTTCCCTTTCGCCAGCTTTGCCATCAGCTTTTCATTTTTAAGAACGCCATCACAAATCCCTCTGGATACCATATGGAAGTCCTCAATGACTCTGGTCATCTTCTTATAGAACGTCCAGATAGTTGAAGGAGATGGCCTGTTTTCCAGCCATGTCAAAACAAAATCCTTGATCACACTTTCTATTTTTTCCTTGCGAAAGGACACTGGATATATTTCAAATGTCAGAGATGGACTAGTTGACGGCGTGATGTAAAGTGCACCGGAGGCAACAAGGACAGTCACATTGTGCTCTTTTCTTATGAGTTCATCTATTATTATCTTAATATTTAGCCAGTGACTGCCTTCCATTGGCCAGATGAGAACATTCCCGCCAAGACTCATCCCTAGGAGACTTATCTGAAGAGACCACAGCAAAACGTTGCTCAACATGATGTCGTTTGTTGTAGACTTCTGAAGATGCTGAACAAATTTCTTCACTTTTCTAGCAAAAAAAATTAAAAATGTGACTCTATATTTTTTAAACAATTGATATTTTTAATAATTCTCTCTCTTTTAAGTGTTATTAGATAGATACATATTTTATGGACTCAGGCTTAAAGCAAAGCGTCCTATCTTTCAATGTGATTCCTACCTTTTGACCCTTCCAAATTTGATCTCTCGACCCTTGTTTATATACCCTACTTGTTGACAATTTTCTCCTTAAACAAATCAACTCCATGTACTCTTAAACTCTATATTCAAGTCTAGATAATGTCAATTAAAAGGGCCAGTGTAAGAACACTAACAGTAAGTTTTATTTGTTTATTTATTTTACTGTAGTGCATTCATATCATTACATTATTAATGCTAAAACTTTTGCTTTAATTGTATAATTATATGTTTATGACAGAAGCATAATAATGTGAAAGTGAAACACATGTGGTACATCTATAAATACTTTTCTCACACATTTGAGAGACTTGTTAACTTCTGAAAAAATTTTTATAAGTAGGTGAACAAAATATGTACTAAAGGTACATAATGGATGGTGAACAATGCTCTGGAAAACAGTTTCTAGTTGAGAGGTTTGCTTATTCAAGAACAATCTGACAAAGTCTCGTTGAAAAGCAAGCTAACACAGGGCAGTGACAGCTGTCAGACATCACACACAGCCTTTCACACTTGCTGATATGGAAGACATTGGAGAATAGGTCACATATATTAATCTCTTTCTTTTCTTTTCACATTTTTAAAAGAGTTGATCTTATTCCACTTATTTTTGCCTGCTGATGCCAGCCTCATCCACCGTCCCATAAATATAATCTTTAAAATAGCTATAATAAATAGTTCACTGGACTGGACATTTGTTCATGAGTTGCTTTATTCGTGTTAGCTTCTTTAACAAGAAGTCAGTTCCAGTTCTATATGGTATCATACTGTTACTTTTTTATTGGGAAAAATCATTTATTAGTTGGAAAATTAATGTAAATTAGGTTTTCCACATCTATTATATAGTAAATAAAATTTAAAAATGAAGTATACAATGTGGTATTACATAACAAGTGTAATTATATAATAGAGAATTAATTCTTATGCAATCATATGTAGAGCACGAATGAATGCATATAAAATGAAATAATATTTATTAATCAACAAATACCGTGTCAGGATAAACCATAGATTTAGAATGCAATATGTTCCTCCTATAAGCCCTCCTCCTTGTCTTACAGAGAGCAAGTGAGAAGGGTTCTGAGATAGAATGACAGGTAATCTGTTGTACTCATTCATGATAGAAATTTCTCCCAGGATATTATTTTCTAGCAAGAATTGTCAGTGAAGCAAAGAATAGGGATGAATTCAGGAGGAATCTGATTTTCAGACTTTATTTTGTGGTCTGGAATACTTGGATATGTGAAATCAACAGGGTATACAAATGAGACCAGTATCATGCCATAACATAAACCTTGATCTTCACATAAATATCTCAGAAAAATGGCAATATTAAGAATTTTTTCAGACTATGGAGGCTAAATTTTAGATTAACTTTTGGCCCAAAATTAAACTAGTGACTATATCAGAAATTGTAGAGATAAATATATAAAGAGATTAAAAGTAAATATTGCCACAAACAAGGAGATGCCTTTTTATTTTATTTCCTGTTCCCTAAGCTCACTGTAAACCTAAGTTTCTCTTTCACAGAAAATTCTGAAAGAGGATGCAAGCAAAGGAATGATTGGGCATGGTAGTGTCTACCTACAACCCTAGCATTGAGGAGAGTGTGGTGGGAGGGTCTTAGATCAAGGTCAGACTTGGCGCTGTCTAAAATAAAGATGAAGAAATAAACCACGAGCAAACCTAAAACAATGGTTGCTGTGCTTATGTCATCTGGCCACTGCAACAAGGAAACTGGCATAATTGGAAAAAAACTGCAATATTCAAATTTTTATCCTAGGCAATGAATGTAAAAAGAGTATTTTCTGATTTGTTCACAAAAGTATTAAGCATAGCAGTCACTGGAGTAGCTGACTCTGTTTACACCTGAGATTTCCGTAGAGAAATTGTATTTCCTTTCTCACTTTTAATTATTTTGCATGAAGTATATTCCATTTGTATCTGAAAGATACAGAAATTAAAATTGGCTACATAATTTAGAAAAAGAAAGTACCACATAATGCTGACACCTTGCTCAGGCTTGCACCGTTGTCTCGTAAGAACTGAAGTGGCCTTTGTGAGACTCATGCTTCCTTTTGTCCTGACTTAATGTGAACCTTACTTATGACATTATGCTTGCTCAACAAAGGAGCAAGTTAACTATCTACTGCAAAGAGTTAGGGATTTGAGATAATTCCTCAAACAGGCCAAAGAAATTACCTGCAGTCCAAATTAAATTTACTTTCCTCTTACACGTTTCCTTTAAAACTATAAACAATATGAAAGGCACAGACTTGATAGAAAAAAAACACAAACATAAAACAAAAAAGCAAATAACTCAGCTTATTTCTGAATCTAATATTTCCAAGAGGATGCAGCTAAAAAAAATATACACCTCCGTTTCAACCCAAACCTTTGTCATTGGTTATTCATTTTAAAAAATACAAAGTAAGTCTAAAATTACATTCCAAGGAATAAAAAATAATTTAGTATAGCTTTAAAAAGAAGACTAACAAAAATATCAGGTTGCAGTATTCCTTTCCACAAATCAAATTTTTAAACACCCCTTTCTCTAACAGCACATTTTATATTGATTATGCTTATGAATCTCTTACCTGTTCTTCGCAGCAGTGTCAGCAACACTCAACTGTCAATAAGAAAATGTTGAATTTAAATAAAGTCTGGGTAGACATGGTGATATGAGGAACATGATCTTGAAGGGAGAGAGATTAAATAGATTTTCTTACATTTAACCTCCCCACCCAGTATATTTTGTTAAAGGTATATCTTTCCATTAACCATTTATATTGAATGCTGCCTCTACTGTTTACTATAAGAACAATGGCAATGATAACCAATATATTAATTGTTAATAATAAAAACAGAATATTGACATCCTTTAATTCATGTAACATAATGTCACAGTTTTTTTTCTTTTTTATTGATTTTATTGAGCTATACTTTTTTCTCTGTTCTTCTCCCTTCCTCTTTCCTCCCCTTCAGCCATTTCGCATGATCCCCATGCTCTCAATGTACTCAGGAGATATTCTCTTTTTCTACTTCCCATGTAGATTAGATCCGTGTGTGTCCTTCTTAGGGTCCTCATTGTTGTTTAGGTTCTCTGGGATTGTGAATTGTAGGCTGGTGTCATTGCTTTATGTCTAAAAGCCACTTATGAGTGAGTACATATTATATTTGTCTTTCTGGGTCTGTGTTATGTCATTCATTATCAGTATAGCAATTTCTCAGAAAATTAGAAAATAACCTTCCTCAAAACCCAGCAATACCACTTTTGGATATATCCAAAATATACTCAAGCGTAATGTGCTCAACTATGTTCATAGCAGCATTGCTTGTCATAGCCAGAACCTGGAAACAATCTAAATGCCCCTCACATGAAGAATGGATAAGGAAACATTTACACAATAGAGTACTAATTGCAGAAAAAAATAATGACATCTTGAAATTTGCATACAAATGGATGGATCTAGAAAATGTCACAGTTTTTTTGAATATTTCAACTGAAATATCTTTACTATGTAGATGAATTAGCTTTCTTAATCTTTATGATTATGAGTTATATTTTTGTTTATTTTTAAGCAGTCTTATTTTACATAACAATCCCAGTTCCCTCTCCCTCCCCTGCTGTCTTTCCCCCTTTTCCCTACCCCACCCCTCATCCACTGCTTAGAGAGGGTGATGCCTCTCCTTGGGAGTTAACAATGTCATATCACTTGAGGCAGGACCATCCTCTCCTCCAATATCGAGGCTGAGCCTCTATAGGGAATGGCTCAAAAAAATAAAACAAAAACAAAACAAAACAAAACAAAAAAAAAAACAGTTCACACACTAGGAATAAATGCTGGTTTCACTGTTAATGGACTCGCCCAGACTTCCCTAGCCACACAGCTATCACTCACATTCAGAGGACCTAGGTCAGAGCTAGCAGGTTCCCCACTTGTCTGGCCAGAATCAGAGAGCTGCTACTTGCTCGGATCAGCTGTCGTCTTGATCCCTTTGCTCATGTTGTCACTCATCCTCTCTACAACTGGACTCCAAAGAGCTTGGTCCAGTTTTTAGTTATGAATCTCTGCATCTGATTTTATCAGTTACCAGATATAGTTCTATGATGACAATTAAGGTAGTCGTCAATTTGATTATTAGTCTTTCCTGTCTAATACTAAATACTTTTAAATACTAAAAGATTAGTATTTAAATTACTAGCTGTACACTTAAGTTTACTAGGTTTTAGTATACAATATTAGAGAATAAAATCCCCACTACATTTAAATATGCAAATATTTTGATTTAGAAAAAATAACATATTTAATGTGCTTTATGCATGTTTTTTAAATATGTTATACTTATTAATAACAAGTACAGCTGAGGATTTCATCATTCATTGTTTTAGTTTATATGCAAAGGTGACAATAAAATTCATACAGATTTAGTGAGGTACAACTTTCTCTCTGAGAGACATTCTTCTGTGATGATATTGGAAAGGGTGTGTGAGAGAAGCAACGCACTTCATTCAGATTCAAGAATGCATGGATTGTACATACCTGCTTATAAATATTGCTGAGTCACAGAACAAGTAAAGATAAAAATAGTGCATTCTCTACGGAAAGGGTTTTTCACAGTTGAACTGCTAGTACACACTGGTTTTCAACCAAGTAGAATCAGCCCAAGAAGACATTTCCATGAGATGTCAGATAAAAAGTCTCTTTCACATCTGCTAATAGAAGATGGCATAAACAAGAATCAATTCCTTTAATCCCGCTCTTTTCCATGGAGAATCTACATCAAAGCATATTCTGTTTTCTTTT